AATGTCCTCTGTTGGAGCCTCTTAATCTATGAAAGGGTCCCCATTTCTCTCACTCACCGCAGGTCGATGCAGAGCTCCCTGCCAGTCCCGCTCTCAACGCCATTTGGTTCTCAGATTCCAGCTCTCAGAACTTTTCATGTCTCTCTCCCTGACTTGTGGATTGGGACGCAGTATTGGCAGCAGGAAATTCAAATCGTGGCTTCCAATGGCGCGGGATCCAGCTTCTGCACTGAGATTTTATCTAATCCTGTTATAGCATCAGGATTGCATTTCCAGTTGGTTTCTCTCAGCTTAGTTCATTCCTGGGTCGGCGGGGTACATCTCCCCTCACATAGGACTCCTCACATGGCACCACTCCTGGATTCTAAACTGGTAATCTCAAAGAGCCTCTGTGGCTGCTGTTATTTGTCTGCCATGTTCTCCCACAAGTCTCTAAACTGTGTCTTCTTTAGATATGTTCAGCATCTCCTTCATTTTTTTTATCATTTCTTCTTTTAGCTGGGAGGTTATTTCTAGTTTAAATTCCTTTAAAGCTTCCAGAAGTTGCTTCTTTATTTCATTTGCTATTATGTCCGATATTTCAGGTGTATGGTATATATTTTCTTCTATGTACATCATTCCTAAGGTTTCTCAGGATGAGCTGGAGATTTGAGATTGTAATTTGGTCTTTCGTTTTGTCATTTTCCTATATTTCTGTATTTCAAGTGTTATTCCAAGGCTTCCCCACGATCTGTTGGAAATCCTCTTCTGTGCCCCCAGTTCCTGGGACTCTGGCCACCCTGTTTCCTGGATTGAGAGAGGGTCACTGGGGATGGGGCAGGCTGGCTCAAGCCCAGCCTCTGGAACCAATGGCACCTGCTTGCTTGCTTAGAACTCCTGAGTCTGCCAAGCACAACCAGGAGTGGGGAGGCCATTGCAGGCCCACTAAGGACCCACCATGCTGGTGCAATTTTGTTTTCTTAAAGAAGTGAATAAACACAGTACAGATATGTAAAATGTAGGTAGGTAGGGATAGATAGAGCTATTGAAAAATGATAGATATATAGAAGACAATAATGAAGAGACAGAAATTTACCAATCCCAATTATACTGTATACATGTTTATAATGACAAGCTACAACTACTAATAGTTTCATGCCTTCACTGTGACACCTAAGAAAATATAAATGCTAAAAAAGATTTTACAGAAGAAACAATTATTGTTAAAAACATGATTGAGGAAATTTTTCTTTCAGGTAAATAGTACAATAAAATCAGTTGGAATTTTCACTTTTTTTTTTTTTTTTTTTTTTTTTTTTTGCACTACTGGGTGTTGAACCTAAACCCTAATACAAACCTTTATTCCTGGTCCTATTTATTTTCTTGAAACACAGTTTCACTAAGTCATTAGATTAAAAAAAACTGGTCTCAAATTTATGATAGTCTTGTCTTTGTCTCCAAGAGTGCTAGATTATAGCCAGGTACCACCATGACTTGACAATTTATACTTCTTTATAAACATAAAGAGGATGAGATTTTAGCTAGTCAAAAATTTTTTAAAAGTCCCAAAACTATAAGAATTCTCAAATCGATCCTTTAATATTTAAATCGATGTATTACTCATCTTTGAATGTTAATATTTGCTTTTGTATACAATTTTTTGAATATTAAGCCATGCTATTACTTTTAAAATTTCAAATAAATTGATCTATTTTTAAAGTTGTATTAATCAATTAATTATCCATAACAAAATTCTACAATTGAATTAGAACTGAGGAAATCACCTTTACAAAGTAATAATTATATACTAGATGACATAACCTTATATTTCACAGATTAAAATTTTAATTAATTAATTATTGAGAAATTTTCAAATATTGGCACTCTGAACTCACAATTTTTTTTTTTTTTTTGTCTTTTTCATTTTTATCAGTACCAGGGATCGAACTCACAACTGCCTGCTTACAAGGCAGGCACTTTATGCCACTGAGCTAAATCCCCAGCCCCCGAACTCACAAATTTTTAAAACAATATGTTTCTATTCTTATATCATTTTATAAGATAATTAAAATTTATAAAAAATGTTCCAAAAATATATTTTAAGTGTACACAATGTTACCTATTTAGCATGGTACTAAGACAATTTAAATAGCTAACAATAACTCACTTATAATATTCAATAAGGAGTTCATTTATAAAAGTAGACACTATAATGCATTCTAAATATATCAAGCATAAAATTTTATACAATTTTAATTAATAATTTTAGCTTCTTTGTGAATCTTTTCTACACAGACACACACAGATAAGTGCATAAGCAGTAACATTAATTTTGAAAAGAAAATATGATGCTTTGCATCCCAATGTACTATATTCAAATACATTTTCACAGTCACAAAATATACTAATTGAGTAGAAAAATTAATTTATGGAAATAATGAACAATTTTTTACAAATATATTTTGTACATAAACTAGAATTTACTAAAGGAAAAAGAAAAAGTTCTATAGAAGGTAGAGGCAAGTAGAAGAAAAATGTGAAAGACTCATTTTTAGAAGGTAATGGAGAGTCACATGATTGACCTGGCAGACACTGAATATCAGACTCATGTGTTTCTGGATAGAGCTATGACATTATTAGTTTTTTTATACATTTTTTGAAAAATTTATTCCAGGTTAAACTTTCAGCTCCAGGGATCCTGCTAACAGACATTACAGAAAAGCAATAGAAAATATCATTCTAAATAATCACATGAGCAAACATCTGTCAGGCATCTAAATATCACATTCTCAAGCAATACTGTGAATGTGGATTGACAATATGCCAGCTGTACAGTTTATTTCGTTATTTCTCCCATGATGAGAAGAGTAGAATAAGCCTGATTGTGAATTCAATGTAATTTTTCACAAGATTATGGGGTGGGGGTAGTTAGACAAGAATTACTGAAACAAAGCGGAAAACATTTATAGCTTCAGGGAATTTTTGACTCACTACAGATATCTGTTGGGCATTATTGGTTCATCCAGTATTATACAAAAATATTTATCATATTTCCTAATTTGATCATTACACAATTCTTTAAAATTTCATGTTGTTTTTACAGTAGAAATATAAAGAAGTTTATGCAAGTATGTAGTAATTTAGCATAAAATAAAGGATAAGTTTTATGATTCACAATGATTAAAGGCAAACAGTTTTTACTTGTTTGTTATCTTTTCTCTGATCTTGCCAGTGATCATAATAAAATAGTTACCTAGAGTATTATAAAAGGTCTGGAACAGATAAAGTAATGAAACTGTTTTTCCCAAGTCATTTCTTCAAATGACCCAAGTACAGAAAATAGACAAATGATGCACAAAACAAGAATAATTAAGTTGCTTATTCAAGGTCATGTAGATAACAGATGGTGGATCTGAAATTAGAATCAAAGTTTCTATTAGTAAACTTCCTGTTTCAAAAAAAGTCTATGATATATGAAGTATGATCAAAGAACATATTTACATCAAAAATTTTTACAGGCAAAAAATATTTATTCCATTAAAGTACTTTCCCTAACTTTGAAAACACTTCTCCCAATTGTTCGTGTTGCTTTATGAAATATTTTTGTGTATTTAGCTGCATTATCATGACTGTCTCAATGTTTTGAACTGATTCAAAACTTACACCTTTCATGGTCATTTTGATATTAGGTGTGTTATAGTTTATGTGTACATATCTCTCCTAAGACTAATGAACTCATAGATGGGGCTTTTGGAGGTGATTAGATCACAAGGCATGTTTATTTCCTGCTTAGTCCCCTGATGAGTTTATAGCTAACCCTTGAAGTTGGGAAGTGAAACCCAGTTAGAGGAGGTAAGCCCCTGGGGGTGTGACCTGCAAGGTGTATCTCCCTTGCTTGTCCCTTGATCTCTCAATCTCTGCTTCTGCCATCATGCTGAGTTATTTATCCTCTGCTGTACCCTTCCACCATGCTACTTTTCCTTGGAACCAGCCTACTGTGGACTCAAACCTCTACATACTGTGAGCCAACATTAACCTCTCCTACTTAGAATTGTATCAGGTATTGTGTCCTAGCAAGGAGAAAATTAACTGAGAAGAACCAAGTCACATTCACAGGGCCACTGGTGAGTCAGGTGGATGAGGACAGAGTGTAGTTTCTCTGAGCCTACCTTTTCCTTGGATGAGCACAGCAATATTCATTGAAGTTTTGTAACTCCTATTAAATACATGAAAGAAGGCTTCCAGAACTGCTTCATAAAGTAGAAACAAGGATGGGATAAGTGTGTGTGAAGCAGGGGATGGGATATTTTGAGGTAAATTAATGATTATGTGTCTTTCATTGTCATACTTTTTAAACACTGTATATTTGGTCACTTTATGGTTTGGGCTTTCAGATCTAATAATTTGTGTATCCAAACATATAAACGGCACACATGTACATTTAAATGTGCACACACATTAAAATATGAAGTTATTTCCATAAGCAATAAACAGTCTGAAAGTGAAGTGTAGTGTGTATGCATCTTTATTAAATCTTCCTTTGACTAAATTCTAACTCCAAAATCAGGAGCTCATGTTATCCTATGTCTCTATCAGTCTATACAAAAACAAATATTTGAGGTTTTGATTGCATAACAGTATATTCCCTCAGTCAAAATGATCATTCCAATACACACAATTGGAGAAATAAAATCAGAATAGGCCAAGAAACATGATTTCTTTTTCTGTGCTAAATTATTCTGAACTGTATTTTTCCTGTTCTAGACTATTCTTGGAAAGTACAGAGAATCTAGCAAGAATAGAAGCTAGAAGTAATAGGAGGGAGGTCATTAAAAATTTGTAGACTACCCAAATTCTGCTTCTCTTCATAGTCACCTCTGGGAAAGCATTAACAGCTATAGATGAATTTCTTTAACTCCACTTATATAGTGAAAAGAAAAAGTGACTTGATAGACAAGATAGAGATAAGACTGTAACTGTCTTAGTAGCTTTTCTGATTATTGAAACACAATAACCAACACTCAAAGTTAAAGAAGGAAAGGTTTATTTCAGCTCACAGTTCCTAAAGATTCCTGTTCATAGTTGGCTAGTTCCAAGGCATGGTGGCATGGCAGTATGGCACTGCAGAGATGAAACATTTCCTGGTGAACAGAAAGCACTGAGGTAATAAAGACACAGCAAGCCACAAGTGACAACAGCAGCCTTCCTGTCCCTCATATATTACCCAGGCTGTTCACCCTATGGCATGTAACACATACCGTGAATCCTACTTTCACACCATAAAATGAGCTCAGCATCACATCCTGGTTCCCAAAATCACACACCCTAATTTCAGCCACCTCTGAAAAGTCCCACCTATGACTGCATGAGGATTTGTGGGGACATTGAGACATAAGCCATAGTAATAACTTAGAGCTGAATAATTGAAATTATTTTTTGGCTAGTGACACCAAAATCTCTATGGAAATTTCTTATTTTTGTGTCATTTTTTTCTCATTAAGTGAATCTGAAAATCAAAAATATTTTTGAGATTTTTCTCAAATTTCTAAACTATAAAATACTATACGATAAGGACTGCTTAGTCTCATTTATGCTTTTAAATAATAATGCCAGTTGGTAAAAGCAAATATTGCTTAAATCACTTTCTTTATATTTCAAAAGCAAATTTATGAATATATACTAATGTGTATTATGCAAACCTCTTTTGAATAGACACTTTAAATTGCATAACAAAAACAAAATGAAATATTGATTGTCATAGTAATATTTTAATAATAATTTATCTTTCAGAAGTAATTAAAGAAGTTAACAAAGTATTATTTTATGACATTAGTCATAGTATTAAACATAAAATGAAAAAAGATATGCCATAAAAAATCCCAGGAGAGGCTGGGAATTTAGCTCAGCTGCATATGTGCCTGCCTGGTAAGCACAAAGTTGTGAGTTCAGTCCCAGTACCAGCAGTGGGAGGAGAGGGGACAAACAAAATCCCAGGAAAGCCAGATGTAATAGTGTATGCCTGCAATCCCAGATTTTGGGAAGTTGAGGCAGGAGGATCACTGCAGATTGCAGAATGCCTGGGCTACAATGTGAGCTTGAAGCTAGCCTGAGTTGCAGAGCAAGACACTGTCTCAAAAAGAAAGAAAAAAAATCACAGGAGAAAGTTACAGCTCACTTATACAAAGGTACACTAACCAAGAATGCTAATCAAAAGGGCACATATAACCTGAACCACATTTTATCATAAATAATGAAATAAAGACAAGTTAAGGAATTTTTAAATGTTTGAATAGAACAGAACAAGTAAATATATTCAAGCATAGGTTCCACGAAATAAAGACACAATACATTGAAAACTTTGGCAGTAATAAAATTAATAAAAATGAGAAATTGAGTGTTATGGATTAAAAAGTGGTGGTCAACATAATGCCAGCTGGATTACATCAGCATGGCACTGAGCAAAGATGCTCCACCTGAGGAAAGTTGCCAGCATAAATAGATGGAGAAGGAGAAAGGTGTTGAGGTGTTAATGTGTTATTGCATTGAGGCATTATGGGCTCTCCTATGAGTTGCTATTTGAGCCATTCTCTTGGAGAAGCTTTGGTTCTCAAATCGAGATTGCTTCCTGGCTCCAGAAGGGAAGACATATGCTGCTTGGACTCCAGCACGGGCTCGTCATGCTGGCTTCCTGAGATGTATCTGACAGTGCTTGTTATCAGAGGAGCTCGGGGCCTCTGTGCCACTGAGGATGGCTGTAGTGCCTTTCAGGACAGCGCTGGTCTTTTTTGTGAGTGTGGCTTCTCGGCTCCAGCATAGAACCCTCATCCACCAACACAGCTCCTTCACCCCACCGGCATGGACTTTCTGGCTTCCACCACTGACCTTTGGGCCTTCCTAGCACAGATCCATAAAAGAGACTGGCATGAGTCCTTTTTGTGGGCTCCGGATCTCCAGTTGGACTTGTGGGAAGCATTACCATGAGCTCTGGGTTTTCATCTGGACTCAGGTGGAACATTGCTGTGGGATTTAGGCTTTTGACTAAATATTCTATGTCTTTGGTGTTGCAGAGAGTTTTCCTGCATTTTCTTGTGTTAACTCCCCGTGACCATTATAAAAATATTATAAACTCCATGTCCTGATTTTAATTGTTTTGTGCACAACCCCTGACTAAAACATTGAAACATATAAACATATAAACATAAAAATTATAAAACAGACTAAAATCATGGAGAATGTGATGGATTTTAATTACAAAAGAATATACTTTTGCTTCCAATTTCCATAATTTAGATGTTGCATGAAATTTTTCATGGTACTTAAAAACATGAAATGACTTAGTTCATTAACAATTATAACAAAAATTATTTGTGATATCAAGAGAATGGTATATTAATGTCTGACCCTTTAAGACCTTGTAGCAGAATGCACATGTGATTTTTAAAATAATGAAAAAGATTTTTCTTTATAAAAATATGGGATAATCTCAATGCCAAACAAGAATTTGAAAAGTTAAATACTCATTCCAAATAGTTTTGTAAATTGGTATATTTGTGGGCACATAATTATACTATTGGAAAACAAAATATGATTTGGGTTTTTTGCTCATTTAAAAAGTTTATTAAAGTGCTGAAAAATATATATTATTTTTTACATTTTGTCAGACTAAATAATGATGGTGATCATTCATTCAATAACAGTATGATAATCATTGTAAAATTCTGTGTCAAACTTTTAGATTTATTTTGGCTGCAAATATTAAAACCAAAGGCTTCATTGAATTTAATCAATAATTAAATGTATCAGTAAAAAATCATGTGAACTGTTTTAGTCTTGCTAGGACAAAATATGGAACACCATTAACTAAAGAAGGACAGGTTTATTTTGGTTGAGAAGTTTCAGTCTATGTTTGGCAAGCACAAGCATAAAAACCACATGGTGAATGGGACTGGTGGAGTAAAGTTCATCTTATCATGATGCCAAGGAAATAGGGAAGGGAGGAGTTGGGGAAGAAAGTGTACGCTTCGAGGTGATGCTTCCTGCAATCTGCTTCCATTATTAAAGCCCTACCTCCCCAGTGTAAGTAAACCTCAGCAACTCCATGATTCAGTCTCCTTCCAGGAGCTCCTTTCTGAGTATATAATGGAGGCTCTTGGATGTCGTTTACATATAATTCCCATATCCTGTTCCTGGTTCCCCAAAGAAACAGGATCATCTCTTTATGCAAAATGTATTTCACCCATCTCTAGTAATTGCCAAAATTCTTAACCATTTCAAGGGTGCTGAAAAGTTCAAGTCAATAGTCTGCTCTGAGACTAAAGACAAATTTTTAGCCATGAGCCCTTCTATAAAATGGAAAAAGTTAAATCTAGCTGACATACAATGGCAAAGGACATATATTTCCACTCCAAATGGAGGTAATAATGGGGAAGAAAGGAATAGGATCAATGTAATATCAAAACTCCACAAGGAAAATATTAAATCTTGTAGCTCCATGTCTAGCATCCAGGGCAAGTTGTGGTAAGAAGCAAACTCCAAATGACTTAGGTGGCCCTGCTATTCCTGTGACCTCACACACTTTCTGTCAGGTTCTGCTCAATGCCTGCAGCCTTCCTAAGCAGATATTCCCATTTCTGGCTTTTCCAATTACCTGAGGTTTCCACTGCTCTGTTGGTTTCATTCTCATAACTTGACACAATGCCATCTCCAGGGCAAACCTTTAAGACTTTTTTCTGACATCTGGGTGGAAGCCTCCTTCATCCCACAAGTTTTGAATTCTGCATGCCTTTAAAACAAGCATCAAGTAGGTAATTTAAGGTCTGCTGCTAAATTAAATATTAGCCAGGCCCTCTAGATCATAGCTGTAAAGGTTGCTGAGTGTCTATATGGCTGAGTTCTGGGAAACTCATTTCTAGATGCATCTGAATTGGGCTACAAACACTATTCAAAGCAAAGTGTTTCACTTTCGCAACATTGAGGTTTTGAAAGGTCGGGTCATACAGGCCTTAACTTTTTTTTTAACATATTAACGAGGGGGCTAAAATCATATGTTTCACTACAGGCAACTCTGATTTGATATTGTCTGATGCTACGTAAGTAAACTGTGCATGGTCTTTTGTTAATATAAGTAGCTAAAATAAAAACAATTTTTGTTTTTTTATAGTTCCAATATTATTAAGCTCAGTGATAAATTTTTCTTTTACTATTTCTTTGTTGTCTCTTGGCAGTTCTTTTCATTTTTGTTTGAGATTTTCATTTGTAAGTAATATGTAATTTTCATGTGTCTACACATATATTATAACATATTCATTTTTCAATTTTAAGAGCATTTAAGCTTGGTAATTGTTTAAGTTCAAGCAAACTAGATTCAATATTTGTATCACCAGTGGTTTACCACCAAATGGGACAGTCATGCATGAACTACCAGTAGTTCAAGTTGGTGGGAATATATTAATGGTATTTTTTTAGCAGCTAAGTTATTCTCTGCTCCAACTTTACAGGCCTTCTTTTCTGAAAAATCTCAAATCTTTCAAATGAATCTTTTACTACTGTTAGAACAAATCTTGCAAAAGCAGTGAGCAGTACTCATGTCACAACCTGAACATTGGGCTGCGATGAAAACTTTTTTTCAGATAATTAGTGTGCAGCACTTAATCTCATTCTCTCACAAAGTTCCAGGATGTGCACAAAATATAAACAAATTTTTCATGCAGCTAGCATACCTATGTTGGAGTCTAACTGAGAGTGGAGTCCTTATTCACAGCTGAAACTTTCTGAGCCTAGTCCTACTGCCTGCCTTCTTATTCTTCTGAGCTCTGAACATAGTCTCCCATCAACACATTTAAGTTCTGCTTACAGCATTCTAGAGCTCCTTCTCCAACCAGCATCTCTATGACTTTTTCTGTGGACCAGTAGCTTTGCAGCAATGACCTCATTTCTGCCATCAAATCTGTTAGTCATTTTCCACATTTCTGGGACCAAATACTAAACACCTATATTTTTAAAGGGGACATTTATTTTGGCTCACAATTTCAGTCCATGTTTGAATTATTCAAATAAAAGATCTGCATAGTAGAAAGTTGTGCCTGAGAAAAATTATTCATGCCATGGAAATCAGGAAACAGACAGAGACAGGAGGAGCTGGGAAGAAAGATACATCCTTTCAGGTCATGCCCATAATGACCTGCCTCCCTAAAACAGGACCCTAAACTCCAGACAGCAAGTAGACCACAATGCTCTCATGGTCCAATCCTTATCAAAAGCCCTCTTATGTGTATATGCATTTCCTAGGGGAACACTTAGATATAAACGATTGCATATTTAAATGAGAGCAACTATTATATTGATTCATTCATCCCTAGATGATTTTATTTAAGGCAGAAGTTGTCTTTCTCTCCACTGTGCCCAGGATTGAGTCTGTATTTCCTTAGTGTTCATGGTAATTGTGAATTTGGTATAATTGGTGCATCACATACTGACATGGCTCATGCATTCATGTGTGTGCAATATAGAAAGCATAGAGAGCATTGTTTCATGTTGGACTTTTTTGTAAGTATGCAAGAATGCTCCACATCTGGATTCTGCCAACTAAATGACAGTGATGTCCTCCTAATGTTTGTAAACACTAAAACCGTTGTTTCTTTGTATATGTAAAACAATAAGTGTAAGACCACTGTTATTATACAAATATGGACAATTTTAATGCCAAAATGAGAGAAATTGATCTAAACAACACTTCTAATACACCAAATATATCACAGAAAATTACAATCCCCAAACTATCTATGTGAAGTAATGATCCAGTATTTGTGAAACTTTAGATATCATCTATTTTGTAATGTAATTATGCCTAGCCATTTCTATTATGTCACAGTCTTAAAAATAATGGTTAGTCCTCATAAAAAGAACTGGAGGCAAACTTCCATGAAACAGTTAATTTTGAAAAATGTTCTTCTAGAATTTGCAGTAGGAGCCTGGGAATTGGAAACAAAAATGAAGAAAAACTGATTATAAGATGAATATTGACATAAACATGTGAGGTTGCTTCCATGGGAAACCCTTGGAGGAGCCATGAAGTGTGCCTTTATGATTACACACTCCAGAAATGAAAGAGCAAATACATTTACAACCAGTTGTTTTCTCTCTTGGCTAGGATTTCTTGGCATACTTCCAGGTTTCTTCATGTGTTAGAATGGCAACTTAAGTTTGATAGTTGCACCCCGCCACCTCACCACAATATTTATGCATTCATTTAGATGAAATTTTAAAATAGTCAGAAAAATCAATAATTAAAATAGGGGGTAAATAGAAAATATTGAGAACATGGGAGCAGGAGGGAAAAGGCATTGTGGTAATAGAAACATTCTTTCTTATTTAGGGTAAAAATTATGTGGATGTACATATTTTTCAAATGAAACTAAACTTTATATTTAAGTAAAATAAATTTTCTGTAAAATATAATAATTTTGAATACACATTTTATAAAGTCAAATACAAAATTATATTCTTAACTATTATTTTAAGGAAGTTCAAAGTATATTTTCAACTTATAAAAACCTGTAATAGAATAAAAATCTTGCACTTTCATTTTTTGATTGTTTGATCACTTTTTCTTGCCTATATCTTGTAATCTGAAGAACTGTTTTGAATGATATGCAGTATATCAACAAGTGTTTTCTCCTATTATATTGTTTTGAAATTCTGCCACTATTTTTTTTTTGTTTTCAGAATAAGTAAAGTAGGTTGTAATATAAATGCTTGTCTATTCAATAAAAAGCATTCATTCTGAAAATAAAGAATTGAATTTAATAAAATATAACTGCACATAATCAAAAGGTCACAAAAGATATAATCTCTTTAAAAGACTTTTAGGTAGAAAATTGCTGAAAAGCTAAGTTGTACTTGAACAAAAGAGGTGAAAAGAACAAAACCACAGATGCTACAGGATGACCAATTAAGAGAATTTCAAGGACAATTTATACCAATTTTTTAAAAAGCCACATAAAACTTACATATTCTTAAAAAATTAAACTCTCTGATTCTGAATTGAGGTGAAATAAAATTCAAATAATAATGGTCATTTGAAAATGTAACCACCTAATCATCTTTTTACAATTAAGACACTAGCCTAAAAATATTACAGTAAAGTTCTACTGACCTGGAGGATACAGTTCATTCCACTATGTCCAGTTAGTGTTTAATCAGAGAAGCAGAAAGACTAACAGTGGCAGGAAATATGGATTTTATTATAGGAATTAGACTGGGTCAGCTAAACAACTGTGAGGCTAGAGTCTGCAAAATAAAAATGTAGAGGTTTTTGCTTAAAAAGCAGGAACAAATGATTATTTTTCTTCTCTTCTCCCCCCCCCCCACCTTCCCTGGTAGTGTTCTGATTTGTTAATTAACATTACCTTTCTTCTCCCTCTCCCTCTCTCACTTCTTCCTTTCCCTCTCTCTGTCCTTCTCCCGCTCCTTTGGGCATGAAATACAGAGTTAAGTGGAGATTCTTATTGATTAGATCTGTGACTTAATGTATGGGGTGTGACTATCTAAACCAAACTTTTTCAATATTCATGCTCAAGATTCTGCTTAATTCAAAGTTTAGCAGCAGTTTGTGGACAGTGACTAGAGAATGGACTGTTAAAAAAAAATCCTTCCAAAGACTTTTAAGTCCCTGACTCGAGCTCAATTGTCCCAAAAGGTTTGGCTTGCATGACACAAATTTAAAGCTAAAACTACTGAAACTTTACAAATTTCAGCTACAGAAAATGACCACCCACTGAGAATGGGCCTTGTTAGATGCATTGGCTGCAGGCCCATGAAAGGGACCATAGAATCTGAAAGTATACAATTGAGGAAGAAAATGGAAACACCTGTGGGAAGCTGTTATGCCATGACCCAGTGTGGCTCCTCAGGTTCTTGGGGTTAAGGACCAGAGAGAGGATGAGAAAAATAAAGAAAAGACAAAGCTGGAGTCAGATGGAGCCCTTACTCTCCTGATGGGAGGAAAGGAACTGCTCAACCACTGCAGCACCTTTCTTTATATCCTGGAAAAGATGACATCAATTTCAGCCCCTCTGCGTAGCAACCCATTGCTTGGCAGGCCTGGGCCCTTTCCCTGCTTGGTGCTGGAACAACTTGTTTACATATCTTGTTTTGGTCTCTCTGTTTTTTCTGTGTTGGCCTTGCTTTAGCCCCACACACGTGGTCAATCTCCAGCTTCCAGGGCTCCCAACACTGATTCCTTTGCATCTTGTTGTAGATGTGAAGTTACTAAATCAACATGAGTGGTACTGAGAAGCTAACACTGAGACATAAATACAGGAGAGCAAAGATCAACTACAACTCATGAGAATAGACAGAGGTAAGATATTGTGGAATCCATACTGGTTCCTCATCATTTTCAAGTTTTTGCAAATGGAACTAGTGTTGTTACCAACATGTTTCTGATCAGGAGTGAGAGAATCTGAAAGAAGATTGTGTTCAGCACCTGAAATAACCTAACAAGGTGAGTAAGTAAATTAGCAAAAATGAGTGCAGATTATAATGGCATCTGATGTACAACAACAACAGTCAGGCAATGGTGGCTTCCATTTTGTGTTTTTGTTATACTAAGATGCTAAAAATTAAAATAATTGATTAAAAGATAATTAACAAAAATAGTTACTTAAAAAGATAGTTATTAGTAATATTGTCATTTTGTACTGAGCTCATTACTCTAGTAACCAAGCACCAACCCCATAGTTATAAATTAACTCACCACATCGTTCTGCTGTTGTGTAATGTATCATCCCCCCCACCTTAGTGACCTGTGTGCTATGTCAACTTTTGTTCCCCTTGTAAGAGACAAATGATGCGGTGTCAACCATTGTTCCCTTTATGAGACACAAATGTTCCTGGAATTGGCAGACTAACGGCTATGAATTGGCTAACCACCCACTGTGCCATGCCTCTTACCTCAAAGGGGAGCAAAGGCCCACCTTATTTCTGTTTCTCATCACTATGTACTTAATGATCAATGAGCTAATCATAAATGAACTATAAAAATCAGTCAAAACTCTAACTCAGTTGCACAGCTTTGCAAATTCCATCTGCACTGTGTCACTGGGCCAGCTAAAATAAAAGCGCTTCTTTTAAAAAGACATCTTGCCCTGTTTGTCATCTTGAGGTCTTGCCCCATTTTTTATCATTGGGGCCTTGTTTTTTGAGTGAAATACAACAGTTCTCTCAGAGTTCTGAGGCCTGTTGTTCCATGGAACCAGAAAGTGAAGGAAGCTTTGGAGAATGTAGTTCTAGCTTAACTAAGATGATATATCACAAGGTAATTACACACTACTACATTAACCCTCAAAGACTACGATAAGTAGGATCATTCCTTAATTGTTTTCAAATTTAAACATTTAAGAAAGGAAATACTTCAAAAACATCATCCATGACTTTTGAATCAAACATCTTATGAAAATATTTACAAAACCAAAGGAAAAGATAAAAAAACAAAGTATTTGTCTCGTAAATACAACCTTATTTACCAGCAGAAAAATAACCATATTAGCATGACAAAAGAGAATAATTAGATATATTCCACTCAAAAAAAATAGAAGAAAAAAAATAGAACTCAAACATAGAAGTAAATATTGTTAACTTTTAACCTATATTAAATACAACTCATTACCTGCAAAGCTTCTAATTTATTTGCACTGTTTATTTCATGCCCTGGAATATTAGCACAAATGTCCACTTAGTGAATATATTTTAAACTATATAGCCATCTGCTTTCAGGTGTCTGTATGAAGGGAAAGATAAAATAAGAAGAAGCTTGAGAAATGCAGCAAATTTAAGTTCAGACTTCAGCTGGAAGTGAAGACAAGAAGGTGAATTCTGTTGACATACCTAACTGGGTATAGCAAAGCAAGCCAACAAAAATATCTGCTAATTATCTACTTCATTTTATGCCTTTACTTTCCAGCAACATATACATTTAGGGTATAGATACACTCTCTCACCTTTCTTTCCTTCTGTGAAAACCTCACCAACTCCATAAACCTATCTCATCTTCAGTATATTCTTTAGTCTCCAAAATTCTCTCTTTCATTTAAAAACCTCCAAAGAACAAATAAACTACAATTTTATTTCAATAAACTACTGAACCAAATTTTGGAATTATCAAGCCTTGTCACTTAGACAAAATTGAGGAGACAAGTATCACTATTAATCCACTATTTTCCCTCAGACAGTGATTTCACATTGCTTATTAGTTTCTGTATTTATCATAAAGAACACTATTGAATGGTTTATTGGGTTAAGAATTTATTCATGAAATCTAATTAGACATAGCCTTATATTACTTATATTTAACCCACTAAAGTTTACTTCCTCCACCATTTTCTATTATTATGACCCAGATTCAACAATAAAAGCATTAATTGTTATTGGTATACCCATTTACTAATGCAAACAAAAGTGTCATATATTTTCTTAAATTAAATACAGGAATGATTAAGTCCTTGAAACTAAAATGATTATATACAAAGATCCTAAATATGATAAATAATTTTAATTTTACTGGGAAGTTAGATTTTGTGTAATTTGATAGTAAAATTTTATTCTACAATAATAACCCTTAGCAATCACATTGATAGCTTAATTCCTAGCTCTCCAACTTGTATTTATGTGGACCATGGCAGTTATGACTACCTTAGTACTCAAGTCCCTTCAATGGTAAAATTTACACTACGTTTCTGTTACTCACAAGGTTTCTGTAAAGTTAAAATTAAATATGATTTAGTAAGGTAGCATAGTGTCTGACATACAGTGAGAATTTAATTAATGTTGGTTATTATTAAATTTAATGAGCCACAGAGATACATAAAATAATTATGCAACTATAATTTTCTTCTTGCAAAGTCCAAAAATTGTTGCACAACCACTACAAAAAATGTCCACTCATGGTGTTTTATAAGTCAGGATGTCTCCTATCCTTCCTTTCTTACCTGGCACATAAATAGAAATAAAGTTGGCCTTTGGCAAAACTGTGAGAATTCTTGTTCCCAGTTCTTTCTGTAAATCTCATTTTATAGCTTACTACATAGTTTCAGTCTCTGACTCATGTGCATCTGTTTCTTCAAGTATATTTCTTTAGAACAATTCTAGATGACAAGACCAAGTACATAATTTTACCCCATCAGAATCTTCATACTAAGTTCCTATTTAGTGCCTTGAATTTTGACTATGTTAGTCTCCATTCTCTGCATCTCTACATCTGCTTCAGGAGGTAGGGTATTGCTGTTTTGTTGGGTTTGGTGTTTGTGTGTGTACATTTTAGATTTTTTGTTTCTGAGACTAAATCCAGGATTACATGCATTCCAAGCATGGGATCTACCCCTAAGCCACAATCCTAGAGTTGGAAGTTTTAATTTATAAACTCAACCTACACCTTCTCAGAAAGTTTGACATCTGACTATGTAGAACACTATGTTTTTAAAATAAAATTCTATATATATAAATTTAGCAAGTTATAAGTCAAGCTAAATTTTCTTTTGTATTTTTAATGCAAGTAACACAATAAAGTTTGAAGTCAGTGGCTTTTTGAGCATAAAGACTACCAGGTTAGAGAATTCAGATATTCAGTCCTATAGAAAAGTTCATGAAGATAACTAATCTGTGGACTGAAGATGAGTAGGGGTTCAGTGTGACCAAGAGGAAGAGAGGTCACTAGATAAATGCATTCCCTTTGAAATAAAGCATGTGTACTGTGGATGAGCACGGAGACTATTACGCCACCAGCATTTAGATATAAATTGAAAGAAAAGGAATACAGGAGTAAGGAATGAAAAGAAATGAATGAAATATGAGTTGGCTTGGCTTGAAGTATAGTTTAAGAAAGACACTGAAATGCATAATTAGAAAATTATCATGATTATGATTTAAAGTAATAACCCAGTTTGGGAATCCTATTTGCAAACATTTATTGGAAGACAAGAATGCTTTATACACAATAATAAGTAATTCATCAATTATGCTGTGTGCTGATGATCCAACTGTGACATGATTCCATACTGTGTTTATTATATAATACCACAATGTCAAATTAACTTGATCAGGGAACTTTTTACCTTCAAATTAAAGACAAGGAGTGAGAACTAAGACAGACAAGTCAAAGATGATTCCGGGACTGCTATTTTGACGATGTAGATAGCACTGCAAAATTATGAGGGTGAAATAACTGTACAATAGTCCAAAACCTCACAATAGTAATAAAAATGAAGTACTATAAAATATGTATCTTAATGTGAAATACAGAAAATAAATGTCATTCTATGGATAAAGATTTACACAAAATGAGATGGTGGATAAATTGACACATTACATTTTTTAATTCATTATTTCTTAGACATTATTAAAAGAAAACAAACTGAAAAATAATGGTCACAAATATTAAATTCTCAAGAATATCATGATATAATTTTAACCTACAAATGAGTTTAAAAATTGCAAAGTTTTACTAATTTATCAGTTAAAATGTGTTGAGACTCCTTATGAAAATTCTCTGGGTAAGAAATAATGAGGTAAACATTTATATATACAATCATTCAAGTAAAGGAAGACCAACGTTCAGAACAATATTTTTCCTGCTGTTTTACCAAAACTTTAAGAAAGTTAACCATGACTAGAAAAAATGTCAATAAGAAAGGAGAAATTAAAGCTAATAGAATAAAAGTATACAATGGCGACTGCTTTTTTAAAAAACAGAAAAAGTCAAAGTTTTTCTCCAAAATTCACAGAAAGTCAAAAAGCCTGTATCATACATCAGAAGGGATGAAATGAGAAAGCCTGTACCAAGTGTGTTGGCTTTAGCTAAGTGAACGGCAAGATAAATTCACAGAAGGAACACGAATAATGAGAAATCAAGATAAGAAACACCCAGAGCAATTAATGAAAAGAGGTCGTCAAAGAGCAGAAAAATAAAAGTTGATCTTGTGAATTGGTAAGCCTCTTAGAGTAGGGATTTTTTTTCTTTCTCTACTTCCACCCCTAATCTCCTACCATCTGCTGCTTTGGCATTTGCTTATCAATTGGATTGGAAAGTGATTAAAAATCCATGTGTGCCAGGGAAAGTGCACACCATTTTTTAATCAATAAAATGATTACTCCAGAGCTCATGGTACAAAAGTTCAAGGCAGTGAGATGTTAATTTTTATAGAAGAGATACTGAGTCCTTGAGCATGCTAAGTGAAATGAATATAAAATTATTTTCAAGAATATAATAAATTGAAAAAGTACAGAATTAGAAATAATGAAGGTAGGGTGATATTGTGGTACTGTCAAACTATGTGACTATCAGCTGGGGAAGTGTCAATAACCTTAGTTTTACACATAAATGTACTAAAACTTTTCATTATACTGTCATCTAATTAGTGAAAGACTGAAATTTAAATATATGTATTTTGAGGGGGTCATCTCCATGACGTTAGGGAACTGGTCAAGTTCAAAACATCGAATACTTATAAGAGTAACCAAGATGCCATTTATTCTGAAGCCTTTCAATAAGATGGGGTTTCCACAGTTTTTAAGTTTTGAATTTAAACACTTCGCTTGAGCTGGGCATGGTGGTGCACATCTATAATCCCAGTTCTCCAGATGCTGAGGCAGGAGGATCCTTGCAAATTCGAGACTAGCCTGGCCTACAAAATAGGTTAAGACTTGCCTGAGCTACGTAGCAAGACTCTGTCTCAAAGACAAAAGTTTTTTTAAAAATTAAAGAAATGAATGAACACTTCACTAGCCTGCCCTCTCCCTTCTTTGACCCAGATAACACACATTCCTGCCATTCAAGTTGCTGAAATTTTCTACTTAATCACTTTCTAATTTTTCACCCTTAGAGATTTGCCTTAAACCTAGCTTTAATAAGTTTAAAAAGATTTGTAACCATAAATCAATGAATTCTAATTTTGCCTTTAGTACCTAATAGTTGTGTGACCTTCAGCAAATTATTTCATTTTTCTGCACCTTATTTATCTATTTATTTATTTGAGCTATAAAAAGAAATCTGGCAATGCACATTCAAATGTCTTACATGGTATTTGTTCACAGAACAGATTTAGATACCACTGTCCTTAGGATCCTTGCTTGTTTTCTCCCTGATCCTCCCTCCCAGCTCAGACCTATTACAGGTCTCTCTGTAATCGCAAACCTCCCTTAAGGCAAACTCATAACCTTCCTTACAAGCCCCTCTCAGAGACTTCCCTGTCAGAAACCTTTTCTCTTCTTTGCCATGCTCAACACATTAAAATCTAATCTTTGTTGAACGAAAGTGCCAAACTTCTCCAAACTATCTTATTTCCTCTGTTCTGAAAGATCACTGCTCACCCCACCAGGCTGTCTTTGTGAGCTGCTCCATCCGGCTAGCTCTCGGGTCTGTAGAGTGAGGACTTAATGGAGGCTGAAAAAGCACATCTTGGTTAAGAATTCCTCGGAAATCCTGCTGGTTTGATGCTGCAAAATGGAGAAAAGCAGCAGTAAGTAGTTGGAATGAATGTGGATTATAACAGTGCAGAGTCCAGACAAAGAATATATGTATTTGAACATTTAATTAACTTGGTGTGTGACTTTCAGGAATTTAAATTATTTATTTGTAAGAAAGTGACTTCTCTGTAAGATGAAAATATTTAAATTCTACACCAGTATTAGAAATAAAATGTGAACATTACATGCAATTTTAATTTTATATTTCAGTTAGTACAATATATCAAAAATGTCATTTAATCAATAAAATCATATAATCAATAAAATGATTAAATACTTTACATTAGTATTTCTTAAGATTTCCAAATATGATGTGGATTTCACAATTACAGAACATCTCAATATAAACTGATTATATTTTAATTGCTCCATTACTCTGTATAACTGGGAGCTACTGTGTTGTACAGAATAGTTTTATTACATTAGATAATTATACCTATTTCAGAGATGATAACAGAAATAACATGAAAAATCTATGTAGTGATGTTGATGAGAAAACAAAAAAAATATGATTTTAGGAATAAATGTTTGTGGATCATAAAGTTATGATATAGGATTGAGAAATTCATTAAGTACACTCGAAATTGATTATGTGTAGTCATAATATTGGATCAAATATTCTATATTACTAATACTGTATCAAGCTATATACTAAAGCTTCTCTACACACAATTAGGTGAATATTTTAAAATGAAGCTTATACATTTCCTTTGTGGTCAGTGGTCATGTAAATTGCAGAAATATTTTAGGTTTTATTAAACAGTTACTGTATGCCAATATAATTGCAAATGTTATTATTTTTTAAACTTCTGGGTGAAAATCAAATAAAACTGCCAAAAAAATCAGCATTGAGATTTTTTAAAAGTTTAAAGTACTGAAAGCAAAAATTGGAAATAAAAAGAATAAAATTTTTGTTACACACATAAACTGAATTTTTGTGTTACTCCAAGTTTTGAAGGTGGAAATCCTAACTTCCAATGTTATACTACTGAGATGAGGACAATTAGAGTACTTAGATCATGAATGTAGAACTTTTATGAATAGAAACAGTAACTTATAAAAGGATAACCAAGAGTGTAAGCATTCCTTTCTGCCATATGAAGACACAAAGATTTGACATTCTGGAGACACTCCACAACCTATTTTTATAGGCTTCTCTTATCCCAGACTTGTAGCTTCCAGAACTGTCTGAGATATTTCTGTCATTGTTAAGCACACAATCTATGGCACTTTGTTATGGCAGATCAAATTCAGAAATCCACAAAGACAAACAAATAAATTGAAAGAAGACAAAATCCATGACGATAGAGCCCATGTATGTAATGTATTTCAGAAAATCTATAAGCTACAGACAAGTCTTTTGGGTAAAACTTTTGAAAGTGGCCATCTTTTTAAAATAAAATTCCTTCAATTAATATTTTATATCACAATAGAACTAAATTGAGATTTTGGGGGGTTTTTGCAACAATTAAATTTGGCAGTGATATAAAAGAAAAAGCAGAATCACCTTAGTTCATTAATTCATATTTCATAGAAATATTTTGGAAGAAAGTTACATGAAAGCAAAAATGCTACCAATTAAAACACCAAAGCTATAATTTTTATGTTTCAATATAAAATAGAATACAGAATGCCATTCATGTAGCAGAATTATCTCTAAGCTTATAGCTGTTTTAGTAAATATAAAAAAGAATGTCTCAATGAAAAATATTTTGGCCTATGAACTTAGCAACAGATTCAGTCAACATTTTTAAATTTATTAACCCTAACATGCAACCTGCAAGGAAATTGGTAGCATTTGACTTTTTTTCATAAATGTATCTCAACAAATTAAAATAAGCATTGTTCAGTAACATCATTTTAGAGGCAGCTATGGGTAAGAAACTAAATGAAATAAATGAATATGAGTCAAAGATCATCTTTCTACTTGTGTAACTATTTATGCTAAAAATAGAACAAAGCCAATCAAAGCAAAGCAGCAAAACTGGTACAGAAGTTCAAAGCAAGATACTAGAAAACAACAATAGCTACCACATTATATCTTATTATCTTCACAGTAGATGTCTATTGCAGATATAACAAAATCAAACCAAAAACAAAACAGAGTAAACCAATCAAACAGAATATTGAATAAAGCAAAATAATCAGAACAAAGTAAAACGGTATAAACAATATTGAGTTTCAAAGACATGACAGAAGGAAATCCTCCAGATTTGCTATACTGCATACTGTCATCCTCCCAAGAGCTGCTCAGACTGCTGGCCCCAGGCCTGCAAAATCAACCAGACAATACAACCACTTAATTGCTTTATGTACCTTAGTTGTTATAAACTCAGACTGTCCTATGAATGAATGGGTTGGTTGCTTACTGGTAGGCTAGGGAGATGCTGACTTTTCTCTTCCTGGAAGCTGTGTGGCTTGCATGATTTATCAAAAAGGCTATTGGTCGGCTTCTTACTGGATCCTCCCAATCCCAGCATTGCAGATTTTCTATTGCAAATTTAATTTATGGTTTATTTTACATTACTATTAACTAACAATTTTATTTCTTATCAAATTCTGAAATGACATAGCTGCATTATTATTAATATAATTCAGGGAGTTAAATTTTAATGTAGTATATTTGTGACTCCAAATATTTTTCTGTGATTTCTATTTGTCATAAATACCTTAAAACTGAATACTATAATTTATTTTAACTAAATCAAGCATGTCACTTTTTAAATCTATACTTTTTTTTATCTTTGTTCTAGATAACTCTAGAAATATTGGCAGGTACAAGTAGAAATATAAGGAATCAAAATTATATTTGATGATTGTTGGCCTTTTAATTCTGATTTCTGTCTTCTAACCTCACAAATAGTGAGCTCGAATTTACATATATATGTGTGTGTGTGTGAGTGCAGAAGTCCTGGAATCTTCCCTGTCTGCATTAATACTGATGGTAATCATGATGGAAATTGGTGATGATCAAGATGACAATGACGAATATAGTGGTAATTCTTGGTTTTCTTAATCAACAGCACCAATTAATAGGTGCTACACTAGACCCATGTTGACCAAGGAACTAAATTTAAGAGGAATTATCTGATCAGCCAGTCTTTGCCTAAAAGAAGCAGAATGCAAACACAGGGCAAACAATCTCTATATTGATATGTTTAATGAGGCTATTTGTTTAGGTCTTAGACTTACAAAAATAAATTTAGTGTCCTAAAAGAGAACTTTTAAAGGAAGATACGTTGATAATTTTGACATAGTCTTTTTGTTACCAAACTCTCCCTTAAAATTTTGAAATAAAAATTTCAGCATTTGTAAAATATCAGTTTTTCTCACTTTATAATATGCACCACTGATCATTGTTCATTAATCAAATATTTGTATATATCTTGAGAAAGAATGCACTTATATGTTTTACTAACTGTTCTAAATTTAAGGGTATATTTTTATTTCTAGGCACTTGGAGAAACTTTGGCTAATTTGATACTTTAAAAACAGGAAAGTGAAATTTTCTGTAAACAGCACAATACCACAAGATCAGCACATAGACTGATACGGGAGAAATCTAAGGACAGTAAAGATATGGGCAAAAATATTTAAAACAGTAATTATCATCTTAGAAGTATGACGAAAAGTTAAAATTGAAAGTTGGTTCAGTAATATTAAGATGAAGTCTGCTTTTAACAGAAAGTAAAATATATCAAATAGTCTAGAAGGGAACACTTTTGAATAGTAAAACCCCATAACTAAAACTATACCCCAAATTTATATTCTTCTATTTCATTTTCCAATAATAATATAATTTACTGAAAGTTGCTTTTTCTCCAAAACATTTGATTGAGAAACAATGTTTTGTGAGTGCTACAATCTGCAGTCAGCTATTACTGACGTAGAAATAGAAAGTTGCTTTGCCTAAATCATGAGTTTAATTTTTCTTTTCTTTTTCTTTCTTTCTTTTTTTTGGTCTTTTTCCTTTTTATTGGTACCGGGGATGGAACTCACGACTGCCGGCTTGCAAGGCAGGCGCTTATGCCGCTGAGCTAAATCTCCAGCCCCCATGAGTTTAATTTTCATGAGCTTCACGAGTTTAATTTCATTCGTTTTTCACTTATCACTATAAAGTCAATACTTTTTCAGTGGAGAAACTAGTAATGCTGCACTTTAGTCGTATTTACCTATCTGCCATGTTAACATTATTTTGGTATCTTTGTATACACTGATAGTTTGGCCAAGTACTATATCTACGGCTGCAGTGTCATTCCCAGCATTACTCTTTAGCTTTCTAAACTGGTCTAACATTTGCAGTGATTCCAGGAATTACATTTAAAAACCTAATAATGATCCTGTGAGTAGGTATGTAGAGACCTGGACTATAAATACACTTTTATATTTCAGGGTTCTAATAAACTTTTTATCTATGACAAACTTTTTGAAGTGCACGTTTGCCTTTCATATTAGTTTTACATTAAATTATAAATCTGTGATAAAGGCATAAAACACATTTGAAGATTTTTATATGGCTAAAAATTAGATACTAAAAAGCAGCTTTTAGGAACTATTCCTCCATTTTGTGGTTAAGTATAGACATCATGGAATTATTACTCACAACATAATCCTATTAATCTCCCCCTTGATTTAACTTTGAATTTTTAGCTTAGCATCATTTTTAATGAATTATATCACCAACCATAGATATTCATATTTATGGTATTCTTGTCTTTATAGACTTTTTCATAAAAATGTACTTACCATTTTTTCTGAATGCATTGTTCTTTGCTCATATTTTACCAATTTATTTTAATAAATCATACTAGGGGAAAGTATTCATCTTCTCTTTAAATTATTTGTTATTATTATTGTTTATGAATTTTATTATACTTAGTGAAGTATGTTTTTACCATATTTTTGTCTCAACATAGTTATTTCTAATTTCTAATCTAATTTTAACTAAATCTGTCTACAGCATATATTTG